AAGGGCCATTGAAAGTTATTTCCTATTAGGAACGGATGCAGCTTACAACTCAGCATGGGATATCCTGGAAGAAAGATTTGGAAGCTCATTTGTGATAGCTAAAGCTTTCAAGGATAAGCTTGCAGCATGGCCCAAAATTGGACCCAAAGACAGTGTTGAGCTGAGGGATTTTTCAGACTTCCTTAGAGGCTGCCAGGCTGCAATGTCCCAGATTAAGGGTCTGGAAGTATTGAACGACTGTGATGAAAATCAAAAACTTCTAACAAAACTGCCAGATTGGCTGGTGGCCAGTTGGAATAGGAAGGTGATTGAGATAGAAGAAACTTGTCATGTGTTTCCTACTTTCAGTCAGTTTGTGGAATTCATCACAAAGGAAGCAAAAATAGCTTGCAATCCTGTAACTTCTCTTCATGCCCTGAAGTCCAATGATGTTGAAAAAATAAAGACAACAAAGGCACGAAACATTGGTGCAAAAGTGCTTGTGAGCAACTCGGAAGAGAATGCAGAACGCAAGAAATGCACCTTTTGTGGAAAATGCAATCATGGTATTCAGACATGCTGGAAATTCAAGGAAAAACCAGTTAAAGAACGTGTTAAATTTGTTCAGACAAAGAAGTTGTGCTTTGGATGTTTACAACCAGGACATCATTCAAAGACCTGCAAAAAGAGGAGTGTTTGTGAAACATGTAAGGAAAAACACCCAACATGCTTACATGAAGAACGCGAAAGAGCAACCCGAAGAGAGAAAAGCGGCGATGAGCATGTGGAGAGTGTAAAAAACTCAAAATATGCTATGTCAACGGAAAGAACAGAGAGCAAACACACCCCTGAATATTCAAATGAAGCTACATCAAACAGAGTAGTGCAAGGCATGGACAGTATGTACTCCTCTACAGTTGTCCCAGTTTGGTTATCTGCATCAAGTAACCCAGAGAATGAAATTCTTGTATATGCACTACTTGACAACCAAAGCGATACCACATTCATTGTGCAAGATAAGGCAGAAGCTCTGGACATGAAAGGGGAAGCCGTGCAGTTAAAACTCTCCACACTTTCATCCATAAATACAATCATCCCAAGTCGAAGGTTAGTTGGACTGCAGGTGAGAGGTTTCTATTCATCAAAGAAGATTTCTCTCCCTGTAACCTACTCAAGAGAGTTCATCCCCGCCAATCTAAGTCACATTCCTACACCAAAAACGGCAAGAGCCTGGCCACACCTAGAGCATCTTGCTGAGGAGATTGCTCCATTGATTGAGTGTGATGTAGGGCTTCTCATAGGATATAACTGTCCACAGGCTTTGCTACCCCGAGAGGTTGTCCCAGGTAAAGACAATGAGCCATTTGCTCAAAGGACAGATCTTGGATGGAGCATAGTCGGTTGCGTTAGCCCATGTGTCGACTATGGTGATGCTATAGGAAGCAGTCACAAGATAGTCGTGAAGTCAGTGAAACCTCATCTCCAGACATCTAAGAAGCTCACAAATGAAGTGAAATACATATGTCGAACCCAAGTTAAGGAGTTCTTTTCACCACCAGATGTGCTGAGGATGCTTGAGTCTGACTTCAGTGAGAGAAGAGTGGAGGATGCTAATTTATCTCAGGAAGATTTGCGTTTCCTAACCATAATGGAAGAAGGAATCAAAATTAAAGTAGATGGTCACTGTGAAATGCCGCTTCCCTTCAAGAAAGATCGACCAAATCTCCCAGACAATAAGGCATGTGCAGTTCACAGGCTTCGATGCTTGGAAAGAAGATTTGAAAAAGACAAACAATACCAAAAGGACTACACGGCCTTTATGAGTGAAATCATAACAAATGGGGATGCGCAAAGGGTCCCAATAGGAGAAATTAACAACAGTCCTGTGTGGTACATTCCTCATCACGGGGTGTATCACCCACACAAGCCAGGAAAAATACGGGTTGTGTTCGACTGCTCAGCAAGATTTGAAGGCGTGTCATTAAATGATTACCTTCTCACCGGACCAGAATTAACGAACAGCCTGATAGGTGTGCTCTGCTGCTTTCGCAAGGGACAAGTTGCTATAATGTGTGATATAGAGCGTATGTTCCACCAGTTTCACGTCAAAGCAGAGGACCAGGACTACTTGAGATTTCTCTGGTGGGACGATGGAAACTTCCAGGCTCAACCATCAGTCTATCGCATGCGAGTGCACCTATTTGGAGCTGTCTCTTCCCCTGGTTGTGCAAACTTTGGGTTGAAACATGTTGCTGCTCAAGGACATGGTCACTACAGTGA